CAACTTCTGAAGGCCAGCTGTTTCACTGGCTAATTGTTCTCATTGTTAGAAAGTTTCTCCTTAATTCCAGTTTGTTCTCTCCTTGATTAGTTTTCATCCATTGTTTCTTGTTCTGCCCTCTGGTGCTTTGGAAAATAAATTGACTCCCCCTTTTCTTTGGGGAAGTCTCTCAAATACTGGAATACACCTATCATGTCACCCCTATTGGGATACCCCTAGTTCTTCTTTTCTTTAGACTAGCCATACCCAAATTCAGGAGCCTTGACCAAAAACCAATAGACTACTTAAAATCTGTCTTGGTTTACCTCTCAAGGGTTTCTACCCCTACCGCAATCTCTGGAAATTAGTTGAACTTCTGAAGGAGCATCCATGAGTCTCTATTGGCTGTTGCTCAAAGAGAATATTGTCAAATATTTTCCTTGTCAATGTGCCTTTCAAAGCAAAGAAAGGAATGACAATCCTTTTAATACCTTAACCTCCAATTTAATATCCAGCTTTTTGTTGAATGAACTTAATATTCTGAGATGGAGTAAATTCATTTTTCCCATTCATTCTCCATGCCTATCATCCACCAATAGTACAAAACCTCCTGTCAGGGTTCCAAGTAACACCCCCAACAAAAGAAGACTCCCGAGGGTTGAGTTTCCTCAAAATTCCATTTTATTAGAGATGTCATGTTGGCACATCTGGGAAAACTTGAATCTGGTTCTTTCCCACCAAACAAAAATTCAAGTCCCTGCCCAGCACCCACATGTCCATCATATGATCCAATCAGGCACCGTCCAAAACTGGAGATGCCTCCCAGTCATCTCATTGCAGCTGCAGGGCAAGATGTCCTTGACTCTCTGGGAAAAGAATGTTATTTGACTATATCTTACCCATGCACGATATAATCCCCCCTCCCATTTCCCCACAGTAGAAAATGTGGCTGGCCTGAAGGCCCAATGTACCAGATGGCTTCCAGCTCTGACATCTTCTAGGTTTCTCAAAACAGGCCAAATCATCAGTGCCCATTCTGTCCAAAGCCAAACTCTTACTGGTTTACATGAATAAAAAATGTGTCTCTGAGTTTCCCCAAACTATTTAATCTTGGACTTCCCCAGCAATCAAGAATTTATAAAATTCTTAGGATGCCAATCGTATCTTGGAAGCACTTTGCATATCTCTTACAATTCCAGGTATTATGATCGTGTTCTTTGAAGTTGATCATTGCACAATATATGGTGAAATACTACATTAACTTCCTTTGTCATGCTCAGTTTTAAATGCTAGATTGATTTGGACTTGGCTCAGTAATTTATTGAAAAGAGATTCTCTGCTAAAAGATATTCATTACTCATTCTCTATGGCTGCATTTCAGCCAATAACTTTCATAATGTTCCCTTCTTAGTCACAAAGGTTTTTTTTTAAAAAAAAAATATTGTTAACAGTGTTCAGAAGATAAACCAAACCAGCAGGTTCTGCTTATTTATTTTGCTCATGAGTGTTGTTCCTTAACTTCCAGCAGTGACGTTTAGGAGTCTTCCTAAAACCCTTTGAACTAAGTTTTCTATTCATCATGGAAAGGAATTCTTTATCTAGTTCATAAGATATATTTTCTTTTGTGTTCGTTGGGCCTCTGGTTTTTCCAGAAGTGGATGAATGAACACAGGGAAGGTAGGATCCTCCATCCATTAGATGTCAAGGTGCTCCCCTGTGAGAAACCCTTAGATTATGGTATGGCAAAATAATATTATCTAAGTTGAGTTGAGTTGAGTTG